AGGAGAAAGAGATTTCGGACTTCAAAAAAAAAAAAAAGACCCACGTTATCCTTAAGTGGGAGCAAAATAAGACTTTCCCCCCTCATCAGTTAAAAAATTGGTATTGATGGCTTTTTAAACCAGGAAATAAGCAAACCTCTCAATATAACTTTATATTCAAGAGCCAAAGTACCTGTTGGTTTTGCTACCAGTAACTATGGGACAGTGAATAAAGAAAAATGTCACAAGATTGAAAGAGATTATTTTCCTAAATCTGGAGATGACTTAACATGTGGCTTTGGTATCTGCATACTGATGATACTCCAAGAAAACACACTTTCTAAATAGTGCCAAAGGAAATATTAAATTAGCTTAATTATCTTCATATTTTTAGAAGGGCCAGGATGTTCTTCAAAACACCCCTTTAAAAATTGAAGTGAATAAGCAAAGAGAAGTTAGGCAATTTGCTTAAAACTTCAACAGGAGACATGGGAGGAGACAGCATTTAAATCAGATCCCTCAGAGTGCACAATGTTCCCTTTATTTGCCAAACAGGAGAGCACCTGGGAATCCAGCACAGCTTCAACAAAAAGATGTAAACTGACTGATGATGCTACTGGTTACGTGGAAAGTGAGGGTAAAAACATGGGTTTAAGGATACTAAGACCACCAGTAGAAATTAGTGGAGAAATTTTTTAAAAAATTCATACCCAATGCATCTCTCAAATAAAGGCTTACCTTTGGCTATTTTAGATCACTAGTGGAACAGTCATTAAAGACCCACAATATGTGAAAATCTGTAGTTCTACTAATCTGAAACAACCTCCAAGGTCCACAACAAGGTGATTTGTTACTTTGCTGAGGCAGGAATTATAGTCCCAAGGCTGAAGTCTGGGAGCAAGTCACTTAACCAATGAGTGTATCTGGCCAACAACTGAGCACTTTGTTATTCTCATTTCATTTTTAGAATAATCCTGTATGGCATTTCTGTCCCTAGTTCACAGATGTGAGAAAGAAATTATATTTTATGGTGGCAATAATGACAATGTTAAAATGTATTCTGTAAAGTATGACAAGAATATACCATACTGTACATTTCTAGCATAATACACTACTGAAGACTCAAAATTTAAGATACTTTCCAAATTATCTCAATTCTTCCCTCTAGTGAATAAAATCCTGCATTCACATGTGATCACATTCTCATTTGATAGTACTATCTCCCTAGCTGAACTAATGCTTTACCTGTTATTTTAAAAAAGAGATAAAGGCATACACAGGTATAGGTTTTCATCATTCAGCAAAAAAAATTTTCTCAATGGGCTTAGATTAAAGGTAGTGTTGCATTAAACTCTTCTCAATTTCCAGTAATATACACCATGACTATCCCTTTACACATATCAGAATAATACAGGCAGTTTAGTCTAATAGAAGGCATGAAAGATTGGGAAAGAGGTGGTTGAACTTTTCTATGCTTCAGTTTCCTCAGTAACCAAACAGTCTAGTGAATGAGTGGTACAAAGCAACTTGTCAGAACTTTTGTGTGATTCCCAATAGCATAACAGATGAAAATGTATCTAAAAGCTCAGATTTTTTTAATTAAAAAATTTTAAATTAAATTTAAATTTATTAACTTATTTAAAAATTCTATCTTTTGAGAGACTGAGCAAGAGCAGTGGAGGGGCAGAGAGAGGGAGACACAGAATCGAAACAGGCTTCAGGCTCCAAGCTGTCAGCACAGAGCCCAATGTGTGGCTCAAACTCACAAAAATATGGGGTTCAGACCCACAAATGTGAGATCATGACCTGAGCCGAAGTAGGATGCTCAACCAACTGAGCCACCCAGGAGCCCCTAAAAGCTCAGATTTTAAATCAATGTAACTTATTTGAAGAAACATATATTTAGTGTCTATTATAAGTAATGAATCACAACCTTAATCATTGTTCAAAAGATGCATTAGGGGATAAGTGAAAATAAAAGGAAGTGAATAGGAACAGAGTTTGGATAGTCACAGATAAAAGAGCAGTTTGGTACCAAAGCCTGGAGAAGACACAATCAGATTGTGGGAAATGGACAAGCCAAACTTACAAGAATCCCTTGGGTAACCTGTCCCTCCCCTACTAGCAGCAACCTTATCTTCTGACTTGCTTCTTCCCAAATTACATGTGTAATTTAGGAGAAGAAACAAAAAAGCTGGGGAAATTGCAATCACTTAATAGAAAGATGTAATGCAGAGAGTGGATACTCTGAGTAGTTACAAATGCTTAGAAGCACGGTGAGAGGAGGCAGAGATGTCACTGGCCCCAGAAGTGACAATGTTTTCTACAGCTGAGTCACATTCAGCATACTTTTTCACTTTTTATATTTATTTATTTAAAAAAATTTTTTTAATGTTTATTTTTGAGACAGAAAGAGACAGAGCATGAATGGGGGAGGGTCAGAGAGAGGGAGACACAGAATCTGAAACAGGCTCCAGGCTCTGAGCTGTCAGCACAGAGCCCGACGCAGGACTCGAACTCACCGACCGCGAGATCATGACCTGAGCTGAAGTTGGCCGCTCAACCGACTGAGCCACCCAGGCACCCCTCACTTTTTATATTTAAAATTAAAGCAATTTTTTTTTCTCTCTATTTAGTACTTATGTCATTTTGCCTGATAATGCACTTCCAGTGTATTATCATCTTAAGTCACTTCACCCTAGTGGAACAAAAAAAGTACAACTGGTATTCAGAAGAGTGTGCTCAAATCATATGATCTCATTTCCCCGTTATGGCTATGTGCTCTCAGTAGTCACCTCCCTCATCTATACTCTTTCATTCATTTAAGTATTTGAGACCAAACTTCGTGCTAGGAACCGTCTTGGCACTTGGGGTAACCATGTAAACAAGATCCATAGGATCTCTGTCCTTGCCCTCAAGAAGTAGACAGTCAACAAACAGGTAAGTTAATACAAAAATTACAAATTGAGATAAACGCTGAGAAGGATATTTTAAGAGAGAAAAGTTAGGGGTTACAAAACCTCTTTAAAGAGAGTGATCAAGAGAAGGCTACTCTGGGGAGATTTAGGCAGAGACCCAAGGAAGACGAGCCAGTTACACCCACCGGCTGTGTGTGTGTGTGTGTGTGTGTGTGTGTGCGCGCGCGCGCGCGCGCGCGCAATGGGGGGGTGGTACGTGGTAAGAGCATCCCAAGAATAGAGAATCAGAAACTGCAAGTGAAGTAGAAAAGCGCAGGTATAAGAAGGGGCAGGCGGCCAACGCAGCTGGAGCCTACGGAGCAAATGACACAAGACCAGACCGCAAACGTAAGGACCGTATCGTATAGGGAGGGCCTCATAGGCCACAGCAAAGAGTCTGGATTTTATCTAAACGCAATGGAAAGTCCAAGAACTACTTCAGACAGGTGAATTACACGGTCCGTTTTTCTTATTAAAAGATCGCCCTGATTAAATGAGATGTGTGAAAAAGATTTTAAGGGCAGAGAACCGTAAGTCAGACGTAATAGGTGTTCACTTCTCCCGGTCCCGGATTTTCCACCTGTAAAACAAGTGGTGTGAGCTAGAAGCCATTTCTTTCCCGCTGCGAAGTGCCCAGGCAGCGAGCGAGTTCCGAGAGCAAGGGCCGTGTCAGATTGACCACGGAATTCCCCCTCGTCCCCGCCGACGCCCAGCACGCAACCGGCACCCTGAGACTGTTGGTCAGCGCAATGAATCCATGAATGGCCTGCCCCGGCCGCGAGGGAGGCTCTCCGGCGCGGGACCAGGCCCCGGGGCCGGAAAAGAACGCGATACGCGGCGCAGGAGGCTGCGAGAGCCGACCGGAGAGGAAAGTGGGGGCTGGCTCCACCAGAGTGAAGGCGCCAAGACGGAAGGGCCCGGGCCTCGCAGACTGAGGGCAGGAGGAGCTGGGACACCGGGCCCGACAAGGGGACCTGGGAGAGGAGGCCGAAAAGCCGGGCTAAGGACGGGGTCTGGGCCCAGGCCGGAACGCCCAGCCACTCACCGCAGCCGTCGCCAGGCTGTGCATGTTGAGAGCGGCCTCCGCTCTTCTCCCACTGCCGGACGCTCCTGACCCGCGTCCCCGCTTCAGTGACTCTGCCGCCAAAGATGAAGAGCCGCCGCAGCCGCCATCCGCCTCCGGCTCGCTCCGCCCCCTTCGCAGACCTGTGACCCTTCACCCCTGACCCCGCCCACACACCTCTTCCCGCCTCCTGGCTCTTGGTGGAGTTAATAGTCCCAAAGTCTGTCCTTTGCCCCTTAAGATTCTTGGCCAGAAGGACGTCCGCCACCTACTAGTCCCCGCATCCTCTGGCTTCGAGCAGGTATCCCCAGAGAGGAGCGTGAACTCTGACTCTCCTCCGGAGGCCAGGGAAGGGCGGGAAAAGCCTGACCGTCTCTGAGGACAAGCAGTGCGCATGCCCAACTGGGCTGTGTAGGAGGGGAAATGACGGAAAGTCCAAAGTGCTTGAAGTGGAAAGTGCGCATGCGTACTACTTCAGGCGGGGGCGGGACTGTCTCGGCGAGACTTCGCTCCGTGCTAGGGCGGGGCGAAGGCGTAGGGAAGGCGGAGTTTGCAGGGTTGCACGCACGCGCCTCGTCTGGTCGCGTCGAGTGTGCGTGCGTGCGTGCGTGTTTGCGTGTGGTCACAGTTCCCGCCATCAGCCGCTCTCCCTGAGTAGGGGGAGCGAGCGGCCCCTCTCCTTCGTGCCTGGTGTCCCTTCCTTCCTTCCCCCCGGCTCCTCCCCCTCCGCGCGGACTCTGTGCTTCCGGCAGGCTACTGCAGGGCTCCGGACCCGCAAGCACAGGTAAGGCGGGCCCGGCGGCGAGCTTCTCAACTGAGCCGTTTTCCCCAGGTCCCTCCTCCCCCCGCCCCCTGCGGTCCGCCCACTCGGCGTTCACTCTTCTGGAGTTCGCCCCGCTGCTGTTTAGCTCACCCCCACCCCCAGGACGCTCCCTGGGCCTCACAGGTACTCCTCTTGGGTTCCCCTCCAGGCTTTTCCTCTCCTTTGACCTGGTCTTTACTGTCACGCTCTTCCTCCGCAATCCAAACCTGGCCCCTTTTCGCTGGGGGCTGTCGTCGTCCGCCACTCGCCCCTTAGCAGGGCCTGCTGTCTCTTCAGGTGACTTCCGTTGCCGTACACCCATCAGGCCTTGGACGTTCACTCTTGACCATTCTTCATCTTCTTCTCTCTGCTAACCATCTCTCGCTAAAAGACATGAATTGTATTTTTGTCGTGCATTTGGTTGCTCTCCATCTTCTAGCTATCAGATCAGGTTGTCAGGTTTACCTATTTTAGGTCTTGATCCATGAAAGGAAATGATCATTGATAACAAAATCCTGTGTTCTGGAGAGTTGGCCTGTAGTGGTTTTGTGGTAATCCTTTTCAAAATTTTGGCTCTGGGTAAATGCCTTTTTGGGGTGGCAGTATCTGACAAGTCTACAAGTCTCTAACTGTACAAGATGTCTAAGACAGGGTGTCAAGGAGGCAGTTGGATATACTGGGTTGGAGCTCAGAGGAGAGTTCTGGGCAGAATATGTGAATTAACGTATATATGTCACCTGCCGTGTTGATAATTAACTGGAGCTATGGATATGGATGAAATTGCCTATGGAGAGTGTAGTACTGGAAAAAATAATGCACCTAGGGTAGAGCACTGAGGGATTCTTGGTGTTTAATAACCGTATAGAGGAGGACAAGTCTTCTGTAAACGAGATGAAAGAAGCAATCAGTAGTGTTGAATTCTGTTGAATTCAACAGAATGAGGACTAAAAAGCCTGGTGACATCAGAGTAATCTATGATTAGTGAGAGATGTTCGATGGAGTGAAATGGAATATCTGGGTTTAGTGCTAGGGTCTTATTCACCTCTTCTGCCCTAAGCTTTATATTCCATCTATATATTGATGATTAAGAATTTTAACTTCTAGGCTTTTCTCTTTATTTTCAGTTCAAGATCTAAATAACCAATTGTCTGCTTGATATCTCCACTGGATTTTTTTCTTAGGAATTTCAAATATAATATATCTAAAACCAAAGTCTTGATCTCCATTCCCCAAATTCTTTGTCTTTCAGTATGCCATTTCATTAACGGCATATTCACTTATTCACTTACATAAGCTAGAAACTTGGGATCCATTCTTGACTTTCATCCCATGAATCTTTAAGTTCTATTCTATATCCAATACAGTTGACCCTTGGACAATGCAAGGGTGGAGGGCACTGACTCCTTCCAGCTGGAAATCCATGTGTAACTTGACTTCTCCAAAACCTAACTACTAATAGCTTACTGTTGAGTGGAATGCTAATAGCATAATGTTCGTACATATTCTGTATGCTGTGTTTATTACATACTGTATTCTTAGAATAAAGTTAGACAAAAGAAATGTTATTAAGAAAATCGTAAGAAAGAGAAAATACACTTACAGTACCGTGCTTATCAAAAAAATCCCTGTATACATAGGTCCGTGCATTTCAAACCTATGTTCAAGGGTCATCTGTATGTCCGAATCTATTTCTGTACATCTTCAGTATCACTTTTCCAGTTCAAGGCACGATCTTAAAAATTTTTTTTAACATTTATTATTTTTGAGAGAGAGAGACAGAGACAGAGACAGAACATGAGTGGGGGAGGGGCAGAGAGAGAGGGAGACTCAGAATCCAAATCAGGCTCCAGGCTCTGAGCTGTCAGCACAGAGCCCAACACAGGGCTCGAACCCACCAGCTGCAAGATGATGATCTGAGCCAAAGTCATAGGCTCAACTGTCTGAGCCACCCAGGCACCCCTCAAGCCACGATCTTCTTTCTCTTGGACTTAATGTCACTGGTTCCCTGTAGTCTCATCTGTAAAATAGGAATAATAATCACCTTATTGTATTGTTCTGAAAATTAAATGGCACATGACACACAATAAATAGCTAATAAGTATTGTTATTGTAATTGTTATAAGCTGAATCATTTCAGTATTCTCTTGTCTGCCCTATTTTCTTTCATTCTTCCTTCTTTTGCTCTCCTCTCTGAACCCAAATAAACCATATCACTTCTGCATTCAACAGTGACATGTTGTTTGTCTGCTTAAAACTCTTCTGTGGATTTCCTGTCACTAAATGTTTATTAAATTTAGGGTAAAATTAAAAATCCCTGTGGTCTACAGGATTCTGTATAATTTGATTTTTTCCAGCTTCACCAGCTTCATCTTGCTCTAGCCTCCTCTTTCTCACTAAACTCTAGTTACATTACTTTTCATTTCCTTAGTCACACCAGGTTGTTTTCCACTACAGGGCCCTTGCGCATGCTGTTGTAGTTGCCTGGTTTGTTCGAGCATGACCATCCCCAATTAAGTCATTCTTCAGTATTAGCCTAACTTTTGCTCGATGCTTTCTACCCTCTACCCCGAAGTCTTAAATCAGGTACCCTATTATGGTGTCTCATCATGCCTTGTGCTTTATATTTGTATCACTTTTTAGAACTTGTAATTATATATTGTGTGATTATTTAAAGCTTGTCTTTTATTAGAACATATGCTAGGAGGTATTTCATTTCTATTTCTCAAGAATTCGAGTGAATAAGTAAACTGGAGCTTGTTTTAGGAACCATCTTGTCCTTCAGAAGCACCAGCTTACTTATACCTTGTCATCTGATGACAAGCACCTTTTCACTCTTCAGGCAAATTCAAGGACACAAAAGAAAAAAAAAACCCAAGAGTTTTCCAGCTGTGGATGATTTTACTCATTCTTAGGTTATAAAATCATTCAGATTTTAGACTCTTGAGTTGGAGATAAACTTTAGGTCAACTTCTGTCTTTTAGTCACACATTAATTTTATCTCTGTGCATTTGTTTTATAGATCTTTTTAGGAAAGAAAGCTTTTAGAAGTGGTTTATATATTTTAACAGCAGGTTAAACTACGAGACTGAAGGGTATGAGGTTTCCAAAAACTAAATTTTTGGAAAATTCCAAAATATTACTTAAATTCCATATTTAAGTAAGTTGGTGGTGGATGTGGGAGAAAATACTAAAATTTAATAATTTGTGTGTGTAGAACAGTATTTATGTTGAAAAAGAGGAAATAAATACAGGAAGCATATGAGTACCAGATACAGAAAAACATTTGGATTTATTTTATACTTAGTGATGAGCCGTTAATGTTTGGGAGAAAGTTTCAGTTAAGCAAGATAAAGACAAGCCATTCTAGAGATACGCTGTACAATGTTGTACCCATAGTTAACAATATCATATTGTACACTTTGTTTTGTTACCATATTAAGTATTCTTACCATGGTAGAATAAAATTTACAAAAAATGTATGATAGGGAATTGACATCAATAGTAAATATTTAGCACTTACTAAGTGCTTGTATTTGTTCTAGTACTAAAGAAGGTAAGACAGGTTCCTTGCACATCTCCCCCCCCAGGAGAAAGTTAAGGAGACAAATAGTGCATGCTTTACTTGTTAAGAAATAGAGAGTAGTTCTTTACAAAGGGTATTTATAGAGTAGAGGATTCATTGGATGGAGAAATCCTGAAACAATGGAGACTGAAAAGTGATTGTTACTGCAAATCATTGATGAGGATGCATTGTGATAGTGGTTAAAAACATGGGTTTTGGGGCGCCTGGGTGGCTGGGTCGGTTAAGCGTCCGACTTCGGCTCAGGTCATGATCTCACGGTCCGTGAGTTCAAGCCCCACGTCGGGCTCTGCTGACAGCTCAGAGCCTGGAGCCTGTTTCGGATTCTGTGTCTCCCTCTCTCTGTGACCCTCCCCCGTTCATGCTCTGTCTCTCTCTGTCTCAAAAATAAATAAATGTTAAAAAAAAAATTAAAAAAAAAACATGGGTTTTGGTGTTAGACTTTGTTTTGTCTCTTAATGAATCTGTATCCTTGGATAAATTCTCTCTTTAAGCCTCAGTTTCCTCATCTGTAAAATAGAGATAATAATCCTTGCCTTTAAGATTATTGTGAAAATTAAATAAGATAATTCATGCGTGGCACTTAGCACTATGGTTAGTAAGTGTTGCATAATAAATATTAGGTGAGAGTGATGGCAGAATGAGGAGTTTCTGAATTAGGATAGCAGCTATGAAAAGGCTGGGTTTTAGATGAGTGAGATTGAGGGTAAAGCTGATTCTAAATTTTTTTGCCTAAATGACTATAGAAGGAATATGTAGAGAAGTCTGGGAGCCTCTTAATGAGGGCATGAATTGTATCATCTTCATTTTGTATTCTTACCACGGTGCCATCAAATCAAAGTGGCTCAATCATTTTTTAGTAAGGGAACAAATGAATTTACAGTTGGTACTGTAGCTAGCGTTCAAGGAGATCGTGAAAGATGTTTGGGTAGAACTTCAGGGGAAGTTGAGGCTTAGAGAACCTAAATTTGAGAAACAAACCCATGAAGTTAGTTTTGTAAGAAAAGTAAAAACTCCAGATTTACTCACCTTTCAAAATGTGTATCAACACATCATGGAAAAGGTATTTTGAGACTTCGGGCATCATTATGTAACAATGTTTATAAAGTAAACAAAGAATATACTCTTTTTCACTTCCTTCTTAGTTTCAAAATGTAGCAGAGAGAAATATCCCAAGACACAAATTGATAAGGTGTAGGCCTTGAAGTCTCTCATTTTGATTGTGTGTATATGTGTGTATCTTGAGCGTTACATTTTAAATGTTTTCAGTAAGATACGTTGTGGTTTTTAAATAATCAAAAAGTTTATCTTTTTGTATAAATGATTGCTTTCTTTTTTTAATTTTAACTTCATAAATTGGATTCTTTTAAAAAGGCACACTTATATTTTCTTTAGCTGAGGTGATGGCTTCCGGAGAACGGGCATAGCTGCAGAATATGAGTAGTTCCCCAAGAAGAGTGCATTGCCTTTGGCACAAGGATCAGAATAAAGGTGAATTGTTATTACATAGGGTTTTTCAGTAAAAGTCACTGAAAAGTAAGTAATGTTTTTATTTTGGATGTGTGTTTCCAAAGTCTGCAAATTGGCAGGAATTAACAGTTTTCTTTCTTTTATTTTATAGTAGTGGTTTTATGTTTTAGCATGCTTTCTTTACCACAGAACACCCTCTAGATAAAGATGTTTTTAAAGCAGGGGTGCCTGGGTGGCTCAGTCAGTTAAGCATCCGACTTCAGCTCGGTCATGATCTCACTGTTCGTGGGTTTGAGCCCCACGTTGGGCTCTGTGCTGACAGCTCAGAGCCTGGAACCTCCTTCAGATTCTGTTGTCTCCGCCCCTCCCTGCCCCTCCCTCACTCTCTCTCTCTCTCTCTCTCTCTCAAAAATAAATAAACATTAAAAAAATTTTAAAGAGAAGATGTTTTCAAAGCAGTACCTAAAATATGTGCATGTAAATAAGTGTACAGGGTACAGAAACATTTTTGCCAATATTATTGATTGAGTTTCATAGAATTCTCAAAGTTGAACCAGTAATTTTAATAATTGTGAAAAAAGGGAAATAGAAATCTCTTTGGACATGCTTAAAGAATAATTTGTTTTTGTTATACCTTGTCTTACCAATAGTCCTTTGATAGGGAATTAGCATTATAGAGTTCAAAGAAACCTCATTGTCCTACATTCATAGAAAGTTGAACTGTTGCTGATTAGTGCTACATACTGAAAAAGAAACTTAGTTTTTTTCCTCTTAACAGAATAGGGCAAACCTTGATACTATGATGAATGTACAAAAGTAGATATCGTTAATTTGTTTAGTGCAAGAGCTGGGAATGGACTAAATTGAGGGATTAAAGAAAAGTTTTGTTGGTTCTGCAAATTTTACATCCTGTACTTTGTCAGGGTGTTGTTTTTTTTTTTTCCTTAGAGGAAAGAGAGATGGCTAGTAGAAATGGTTAAGGAAATGTTCAATATCTGAAGTAAAATTTCATGTACTTAATCCAAACTGCATCAAAATGTTTTAGAATTGTATAGGGAGAAATTGTATAGAGAGAAACAGAAATAACACTAAAGGTTTTTTTTTTTTTTTAATTTTTCATATGCTTTAGTGAACTTTGAAATCTACACTTCCAATTTTGTTAAATAGTGTTAATTTTTAAAAATTTGTTGGAGGAATTCAGGGTCATTGACCTTACTTTTGGTCTGTGAAGAAAACGCTAAGATAATGGGGTTTTGTAGTATTCTCTTTCAATTTGGTACCCTGATCCATAATGACATATAAGGAAAGGTAAGGGAATTTGACAGAACTCTGAAAGTGGAGTTTCTCCAGTGAGCAATGAACAATATGAATCCTAGTTTAGGCAAGTTTACTAATGTTTTTGTTTTAATGTATTCTGTAATTGCATATTAATTTTGTTCTTCCACAAATGATTTTTTCTCATTGAATCTTGGTGAGATGTGAGGACAGCTTTGCATTTAGTGAAGTTCAGGTGCCGGTAGAAAAGACTTACATGCAGTGTTCAAAAGATGACTTGTATGTCGTCCACTGCATAGTGATACTTATAAAGAGCTTAGTAAATATAATCCTATATTGGTCACATAAGAGGGATTTATGGTTCCAGTATCTGCTGTTGTGTGTATATAGATATGTACACATATATGTGTATATATATTCTCAATGTTTATTTTTGAGAGAGCACACATGTGTGTGCCAGTGGGGGAGGGGCAGAGAGAGGAAAACAGAGGATCTGAAGAAGTCTCTGTGCTGAGAGCAGTGAGCCCAGTGTGGGACTTGAACTCACAAAACATGAGATCATGACTTGAGCCAAAGTGGGAAGCTCAACCGACTGAGCCACCTGGGTGCCCCTCTGTTTTTGTATATATTAACAGCAAATTGAATAAAATTGTTAGTGCTGATTTGTTCATTCTTAATCATTTTGTTTCTTGTGTGTCAGACACTGTCAAAATGGGGATGCTGAGATTAAAGAATATATTCCTTATCTTCAAATAGCAAAATCTAGATAGAGACAAGTGAACAATTTGTGATACAATGTGACAAATGTTACACTAGTGGTAAGCACAACGTATATAACAGGAAAATACAGAAGCATGAAACTGTCTCTGTGGATGTGAGCTGAGAGAAAAAGTGAAAGGTAGCTGGGAAAGGCTTCTTAAAGAGGATAACATCTAAGCTAAGCCTTGATTTTATAGCCAAGAGAAATTGAGTGGGGTTGTGGGGGCATGGAGAGAATACGTGAAAATCCTCCAGAGATAGACCACAGTGTATGCAGAAGTATACTGGCATAGTTTTTTGGGGGAAATTATAAATTCAGATGGATGGATTTGGTGGGCTTGTGGGGATAGAGAGGTAAATAGGGCCTGGATCATGAAGAGTGTTTATGTCATGTTAATGAGTCTAGATTTTATTGTGAGGGCAATGAGGAGCTGTTGAATGATATTAAGGAGAAGAGTGATGTGATTTGATCTACAGTTCATCATAAAGATGTCTGTAAGGTGTATGGTGATAGACTTGACAGGACTCTACTGTGATCTTCCATTTCCAATCCAATACCAATAATCGTCAAGAGAGAGGTCAAAGATAACTCTCATGTTTCTGGCAAGGGCAACTGGGGTAGGAGAGGGGTCATGTATTCTTGGCAGTGTTGAGAGCCTAGTGGAAGAAAGTCTCAAGGACCTGTCCAAACAATGAAGCACCAAATTATTAATTGCAAAAGAAAAAAAAAAGTATTACAAACACACATTGCTGGTCCAAAATTCTGTAGTTACTACTTTGAGCAGTGCCATGTTAACAGGTCTATAAACAGTAGCAGGACTCTGTTTCGCTGATGGATTCATGTACCTACCAAATTACACTATCTAAATCTGACCACAGTAGGCATTCAAAAATTTTGATGAGGTGAGTGAATAATAATGGAGGACTTAAAATGCATAACACCTTTTAACTATTCAAAGTGTTTTCACATCTCTTTTGAAATTTTGTTCTGTTATTTGGTATATACTACCTAGAAGCCTTAAACTAGAGGCCCTCCAGGCTCTATCTTGCCTATATCCTACCTGTAGGTGGGTTTTGCTTGATTTGTAGTTTTTAAAAATAAATTTTAATTCATTGCCCACAATTTACAATGGGCAGTTTTACACAAACATTTGGAGCTCGTTTTCTTGAAAAGTTAGATGATCAGGCAAGTAGCTGGGTTCACTAATTCTACATGGTAAAATTGGCTAGATTTCAGTAGCAGTTTTCAGAGTTTGCCTGCCTAAGTCATGTCACCTGCATGACTCTTATAGGCGGTTGACTTTGACCCCTTTTAACAGCTTATTTATCTGAGGTCTTTCAAGAAAGAGGTGTTGTGGGCAAGGAATAAATACAGAAAGTGCACACTAATTCCATTCATATTAAAGCTTTTGTCTGTTCAGTGCCTAATGTATGTTATTTCATTTAGTTTTGCAAAGCTATAGCATTTGCTATTCTTATTTACAGTTGAGAAAACTAATGGTTAGAAAGGTAAGTTATAAATTAGTGACAGCTGGCTCCTGATATCTAGGCCTCCTGTGTTTTTCCTTTGTATACTACTTTTTTTTTTTAAGCTTTTCCAGTTGAGTTGTTTAGGCAAAGTATGATGATTTTTAATTTCTTAAATTATAAGCAAGAATCTGTATTAGCAATGTTTTTAGAGATTTGAAAACAGTATACATAAAATTTGTTTTAATTTTAGATGATTGTATGTGTGTACATACATGTAGATAATACATAACACTAACATTCTTTACTATTACAGTTGTGTTTACTTGCTGACATTTGGTAAGCTAGTTTGAAAGTTTTAGATATTCTGTTATTGCTGTAAGCAATTTTTAAGTAGAAGTTCTTTCAGAAATTTGAGTATTTGTCAAAGATAAAATTGGTAAAGATTCTTTCTGCTTTATGGTAATATTAAACAAATGGTAGGTGGTTCTTAGGAAGAGAGGTTTTTAGTGTGTGTTTCTTTTGCCTAAAGAATAAATTATTTTCTCAATATAATTCTGAAGGTTAAACTCATTTGATTATTCTTACAATTTTTTCATTCATCTAATGTCTATACATGTGGATATGCTTAGACTACTGATTGGTAGAAGGAATTGTTTTATGATATGATTTGATATTTTCAGAGGAACTCCATTCTAAGAAATGGAGTCAGCTGACTGAAAATATTTTTTTTTTTACTTACATTTGAAATTCAAGACCCTTTCACATTCATGAAGGACGGTAAAAGTTGGTCATATTGCTGTGAGCAGTCACATTGACAATTTAGTATTCCTGATTGACATGCCTTTAGTGGCAGCAATATGGTTGTTAATGGTGCCAAATGCAAAATTCAGGCACTGCTAGGGCACAGATACTGGACACATGGCAAAGAAGGGAATGTGGTAGAGAAGAAATAAAATGTAGGTAGACTCAGTCACTGAACTCAGTGACTGCTTTAGTTGTCTTTCTTCTGCTTACCAGCTAGCTAATCAAGGCCTTTGAGGTTGCTTAATAAAAAGTGGTTTACTGAAACAGAGAAAAGGACGTAAAAGATGGTTTATTAAATGCTCTCTTTTAAGTGACTCTTATTTTAATCACTCTTAATAAATTGTAACTTACTATTTTATTTTTCTTCCTTAGAATCTGTCAGGTGTATTTTTGCTTTTTAATTTGGCTAGAAGCAATTTATTTTTAAAGAAAGTATGTCTCCTCTGAAGATTCACGGTCCTATCAGAATTCGAAGTATGCAGACCGGAATTACAAAATGGAAAGAAGGATCCTTTGAAATTGTGGAAAAAGAGAATAAAGTCAGCCTGGTAGTTCACTACAATACTGGAGGAATTCCAAGGATATTTCAGGTATTACCAGATTTTGATGTGGAATAGATCTTGACTCACACCCTGTAGTGAGTAGCTTCCCTGTACAATAGTAAGTATAGTGGTAGCCCTCCTCCTAGGTTAATATTTCTTTTTTATTTCTAGGACACTGATAGTTCTGTGTATATCTTTTATAAATTATTCAACAGCATTGTTGATGGTGTAGAATAAGGAGCGGGAAGTAGTCACCACTATTGAAAAGAAAACTGGGAGGAAGCTGAGAGGAACTGGGTTTGGATACTATTTCTAAGCTATTCTGAAAAACACATTAGGATAACTTTAGTTATTCCTTTTTTTTCCTTAGCATAATATGATAGATTCATCACTATTTAGTATTAGCTTCTAAGAGAACTCATTAGTATCTTCTAAAACCGAATGTCTACTTCTCAAATAGTCTTACCAAAGGTTATAGTAGGGACCATTCAAGGATGATTATTCGAAGTCATATTTACAGCTGTTTTCTTCTAGCTGTAAACTTTTGAAGAATTTCATTATTTCATCACTGCAGAAAATAGTAAATTTTGTTTTCACTTCTATACTTTTTATCCTGAATTACTCATCTTGTTATGATTTAAATTTAAGAAAATAATGTCTTAACATTTTCTGCACTTTAAAATTCTGTATTTGTTAATTACATAATACAAAAGTATAATATTCATTTAAGCTGAAGTACTCTATTGGATAATAATTTATGAAATATTATGCTTGAGAACCCTAAACCTGGGATAAAATTTCCATTCCTGTTTGCTTTTGAACTGTGAAAATAAATTGCTTATGATTTAGTGTATTAAAGATATTCTTAAATAGATTGGAGATGGTAACATGGGTAATAGAAACAGTGGTAGTTTCTCCCACAAATGTATATCTACTAATTGTTCATCTCAATGAAATGATTCCTTTTCAAATGGAGATTCAGTTTTTCAGCCCAAATTAGCAGTGAGTAAATACTTAAATGTTTAAGCAAACTTACGTCTTCAGGAGCATGAAGATTCTGCTTGTTATTCTGGCCTCATCTCAGTTCTAGATCAGTTTGCATTCAGCATTCATTTGTTAACCACCTACAGATTAATGTGGTGGATACTGTATTAAGGGCTATTAATACAGAGCTGAATGAGTTGTTTTTCTTCTCAACCTTAAGCATAATCAAATGCATTTTCAGATGTAAAAATATTCCAGACACACTGAAGTAACACAAAGAAGAGAATGGTTTGTGCCCTGAGCATTTAGATGGTAAATAGGAGTTTGCCAAACAAGTGGAGGTAGGGCGGAGGTGATTTCTATACATGGACAAACACATGCAAATGTGAATCGACACTCAGGGAACCAGAAAAGTATTTTAAAATAAACGGACAGTGGGGCGCCGGGTGGCGCAGTCGGTTAAGCGTCCGACTTCAGCCAGGTCACGATCTCGTGGTCCGTGGGTTTGAGCCCCGTGTCAGGCTCTGGGCTGATGGCTCGGAGCCTGGAGCCTGTTTCCGATTCTGTGTCTCCCTCTCTCTCTGCCCCTCCCCTGTTCATGCTCTGTCTCTCTCTGTCTCAAAAATAAATAAAAAACGTTGAAAAAAAATTTAAAAAAATAAACGGACAGTAAGGAATGAGTAGCAGAAGTAGAGGCTGAAGAGCTAGATAGAAACCAGATCTTGAAGTATCTTGTTTGTCATACTAAGAGGAGCTTAGATTCTAAGAAGCCAAGAATCTCAAGTTCAAATTCATTTAGGGGCTAGGCAGATGAGTTTATTACAAGAGATAGTGGGAGAATAAAGACATATGGGAGGTCATTGTGGGAGTTTAGGTGAGGAATGAAGGTCCTAATCAAAGGAAAAGTCAATAGAAGCAAGAGGAGGAAAAGGATAGATTTGAAGAGATTTCAAGAAGACTCATTAGAATTAGGGAGGTGAAAAAGAAAAGATCCTGGGGAGATTCCCAGATTTCTGAGTGGATGGTAGTCCCTTTCATGTCTTGGTAGGGAGCAGAGGGGAAGAACCGGGGTGGGGAGGGGAGAGATGAGTTGTTGTAGGCGTCAGATGTTCAGATATTGGTATCTAGTAGGCATTAGGTAAACAGGACTGGAGCTCCAGCAGAGAGATCTGGAAGGCCTCAATAGAGTACTGGAAGGCTTCAATAGAGTACTTCAGCTTAAAGCTGGAAGGCCTCACCATACGGGTAATAACGAAAATTGCGGGGCTAATAGGATTTTCACTTGTTAGAGACATCAAATTCAGATTATTCTCATCCTGTTTGTTAATGAACAAACTTTTCCCTTTTGTAGTTAACTTTGATTTTTAAAAAGTAGTATGTGGACTGAAATAATGGTTTTAAGTGATCTCTTTTTTTGCATGTTAAACTCCTTGTTTAAATATTTCAGAGTTAAAGCCTCTGAAACTGTTTATTGTGTTCTATGATAGAATTGTTTTTATTTATTTTGAGAGAGGGTGTGCGAGTGTGAGTGGGTGGGGGATGGGCAGAGAGAGAGAGAGAGAGAGAGAGAATGAATATCCTGAGCAGGCTATGCATTGTTAGCAAGGAGTCTGATGCAGGGCTCGATGCCACGAACCCTGAGATGATGAGCTGAGCTGAACTCAAGAGTCAGACACTAACCGACTGATCCACTTAGGTGCCCCTTATGATAGGAATTTTACTGAAGGACATGAGTTTAAGACCTATTAGGAAGCTTTTATGTATATATATATTTGTGTGTGTGTGTGTGTGTGTGTATATTATTTAAAATTTGAATATAAATGAAGTCTGGTAAAATTATATTTTTAATCTTATGTAAAAATTGACAAAGATCAATTCTAGTTTTAAAAAATTATGAAATACTATTACATTTTTCTGCTATTCAAAGGGTATATCTTCAGCAAAAGGCAGCTTTTGAAACCTTTGTATGTGCCTGCTGAGGGAGAACATTAGAGAATAAGGATGCCTATTTGGCAAGAATTACTTAGGTAATAAACTGGAAGACTTATTAATTTAGTCTTGGAAAAATTTCAGCCAAGAGAAAATAAATGTTATCACTTCATAGCACATATCCAGAGTCTGGAAAATTATAGGACAAATTACTGGACCATTCTGGGGAGTGGAAGAAGTAAGCTACGAGGATTTCCAGAGTACTCATGATCTTCATGATTGAAAGAAAGTTAAATGAACCTGCTTAGATAATTAGAAAAGAAAGATGGGGGTGTCTGGCTGGTTCAGTAGTAGAGCATGCAACTCTTGATCTTAGGATTGTAAGTTTGAGCCCCATATTGGTGTAGAGATTACTTAAAAATAAAATCTTAAAATATATATTTGAAAGAAAAAAAAAGACGTCTCAAATTGGTAAATTTTATTTTGCCATGTTTTTGAGAGGTGGAATTCTTTTGAAGGTTATAGTTTGGATTAATGTATCCTTTTACATTACAGCTACCTAAACCAATTGTCGGATATTTTATAAGCTTTTATTTAAGAAAAGGAAGAGAGAAAAAGAAAGCCTCTAACATAATGTGGCTTTCTAGAGTAGTGCTGGTATATCCACCTAGGCTCTGTTAATTGTTAACTCACTAGCTTTAATAGCTTTATAACTATATGTGAAAATATTCAATTCCCTGTCATAAAATCAAAAATGCTAGGATTACTTTGTAAAATAAGTTTTAATAGTAGGTGTTTGCCTCTCCTGAAAGTGAAATCTTTAAGCGTATCAAGAAATGGGAACTCTTTTCAGTTGGTGGGAAAAAACCCTAAAATTAATATGGGAAAGACTTAAGAAATGTAACTTAGAAAGTATGAAGTAAAGTGCTCCTTATACAATTTATTTTACTTTATTGTGCATTTTTAATAATGTAATTTTCCTTTTGTGTTGGTTAGCTAAGTCATAACATTAAAAATGTGGTGCTTCGACCAAGTGGAGCGAAACAAAGCCGCTTAATGTTAACTCTACAAGATAATAGCTTCTTGTCTATTGACAAAGTACCAAGTAAGGATGCAGAGGAAATGAGGTTGTTTCTAGATGCAGTCCATCAAAACAGACTTCATACAGGTGAGCACTAAATCTTCCCAGGGTTTGCCATTAACAATTATAAAAGAATATTACTAGATGGTATACTAGTATCTCTGATGAATATTGATATAAAAATCCCCAGCAGAATACTGCCAGACTGAATTTTACAGTACAATAAAAGGGTTATATACCATGACCAAGTGGGATTTATTTCTGGAATGCAAGGATGGTTCGGGATATGAAAAATCAATGTAATACACCGAGAGTGAATGAAGGAAAAAAAAAACACATGATTTTCTCCATGCAGAAAAAGGCTTTGATAAAATTCAAAACCCTTTCATGACAAAAACACTCAACAAACTAAGAGTAGAAACTACCTCAACCTAAAAGGCCATGTATGAAAAACACACAATTCACATACTCAGCAGTGAGAAACTGAAAGGTTTTCCTTTAAGATAAGGAACAAGGCAAGGATGCCTTCTCTCACCACTTCTGCCCAACATAATACTAGAAGTTCTAGCAAAAGAACTTGGGCAAGAAAAAGAAATGAAATGCATGCAAATTAGAAAGGAAGAAGTAGGGGTGCCTGGCTGGCTCAGACCGTAGCATGTATGAGTCTTGATCTCTGGGTCATGAGTTCAAGCCCCATGTTGGGTGTAGAGCTTACTTTAAAAGAAAAAAAAATTTTTTTTTAAAGAAAAGAAAATTATATCTGTTCTCAGATGATATGATCCTATATGTAGAAAACCTTAAAGATTCTACAAAAGACTATGGCTAGCAAAGGAGGAGGGAAACTATTGGGAAGAGTTACCTTGTCATTTAAATCTTAGGTATTTGTGTTTCTCTACATGAGACTTATTCTGAGGTTTTACTCTTGCTATGAAGATAGCAAGTACTATACAAAAATCATACAATATGATTAGGTTCCCCTGCCCTTTCCTAATCCCTTTCATTTAAAATGTTTTGATTTAAAAAATGTATTTATAGACATTTTTAAAGGAATAATCTAGTGCTTAAAATGAGTTTTCCACTATATTAGTGTTTAGCTGTATTCTCATCAAAACTTCATTACTAATATTTTATAGTTGACAAATTTTGGGGTTTTTTAACTCAAATATGACACATAAAAATGTTAGAAGGTGAAGATGTAGGAGTGCTACTTTGCTTGTGTTTAATTAATATCTATTTGATACACTATATTCCTTGTAAAAATAAAAAATTGATTGCTATGTAGTACCTACTCATATGTTCATGTTACCAAATCTTAGCTATGTCAATTTACTAAATAACTGTTGAATTTTAGAATCAAGGAATTGAATACTGTTTAAAATTTTTAGAATATGTCAGGGACTATGTCTATATACCTTCTGTTTTTGTTTATTTCATTGTACCCATCATGTTAATTGACCCACTGTTTTAAAAGTTGACACGTGTAAGAAAAGCATGTCTCTAAATAAATTGGAATGGAAAGCACAATAGACTCTCTGGAAACCCATATTTAAATCTGAACAACATGATATAGTGGAGAAATGTGAATTTTGGACCTAAACAGATTTGGGTTTGAATCCTACCTCTGTTTACTTCCTGTGTGGTTTTCCATATGTCACTTAACGACTGGGTTTCAGTTTCTCATCTCTAAAATGAAGGTTATATTACCTTAAGTTCAGGTCTTAAAGAATAAAATCTCATAAATAGAAAGTATGACTGGTATAAGAGAGACACTTAGTAATTAGGTCAAAAGGAGCAGGCTGTGGAGTTGAATTGTCTTGTGCTGCTCTTGGACAAGTTATTTTAATCTTTTGACTTTAGTTGCCTTTGCTGCCCAAAAGTAATATGTACTTTACAGAGACTAGAGTAGGATAATGAATGTAAAGATCTTTGAAAAGTATAGCACATTTAATATATAATGTGTGGCAATTCAGATCAGTGGAAAAAAGACTAAATTTGATAGATGTGTTATCTATAAATGAGATAACAAACCATTTAAGAAGAATAAAGCTGGCTCCCTATCTCACTTCATTCATCTAAATAGATTTTACATTGATCAAGGATTTGAATATAAAAAAGTAAAATGATAAAAGTGTTATTAAAGGGGAACACTGGATTTTAACATAATATCTAGATGGAAAAGACCTTTCTGACTATGATATAAAAACAGAATCAGTAAAGGAAAAGATTAATAATGGACTGTAAAAAACTTAAATGATCTCTGAGGCAAGAGTAAAAAACAAAAACGAAAATATTAGCCACAGTGACAGAGTTAATGTCGCTAATAAACAAAGACCTATTTTCCACATCAGTATGAGAAGGACAATCCAGTAGAGTAGTAGAAACTGCATATAGGAAATTCAGGAAGATAAACAGATGGTTCTAATACATGAAAAAATCTCAACTTCACCAATAATTAAATTCAAGTTCTTAGTATCACATCAGCAATAGTATGAGGAGAACAAGATAGTTTCATTTATTTGGTAGGAACTTAGAGATATTTTTTGGAGGAATAACTGGTAATACCAATTTAGTTTAAAACCACTTCCCTGGGGCCCCTGGGTAGCTCAGTTGGTTACGTGTCCAACTCTTTTTTTGTTTGTTTTTTAACATATTTTTTTTGACGTTTATTTACTTTTGAGAGCGAGAGAGAGAGACAGACAGAGAGACAGAGTACAAGCGAGGGAGGGGCGGAGAGAGAGACACAGAATCCGAAACAGGCTCCAGGCTCTGAGCTGTCAGCACAGAGCCGTGTGTGGGATTCAAACCCATGAGCCCTGAGATTATGACCTGAGCTGAAGTCGGATACTTAACTGATTGAGCCACCCAATGCCC